TGTCTGTGTTAATTGGTTTCCCTTTTCTTTGTTGAAGAGGGTCTGTGCAGTCTTTCTGCCTAGTCTGCCATCTTGCCAGAACCTCTGTAAAGAAGATTCTTAAAAATTGTAGAAATCTTTCATTCAGTGAATAAGGTTTTTAAAAGATGTAACTCATTGATGTTACTCAGTAGAATATTCAACTTTCTGTAAGTGAGTGAAGATACAAACTTTTGCCTTTGAAGTAGTTATAATTTAGAATAATGGAATGAGCTTTTGAAAGCAGAACCATGGGCAGTTCATCATAGTTCCTTCTGGATTATCTTTTACTGTAGTCAGTTTTCATTTCATTTCAATCCACTTTTGGAGGAGCATGCTATAGTTGAAGTTCATTAGAAAGACAAATGTTAACAATATTCTATATTAGATTAAACCAAACTCACTACTGTTGAGTCAGAACCGACTCATAACAATCCCTCCTTGGGTTTCTGAGGCAGTATCTCTACAGAGGTAGATTACCCAGCCTTCCTGCTGAGGAGTGGCTGGTGGGTTTGAACCACCAGCCTTCTGGTTAGCAGTCACATGCCTTAGGCACTATACCGCCAGAGCTCCTATATTACATTAAAAGCAACTTATTTTTATTTTAGAAGGTCAACGGACATTCAGCTTAATTCCAATACAGTGATATTATTTATCAGAATCGTGACTCAAACAAAGGTGCTCTGAATTTCAGAAGTATGTATTCTAGATGACATTTTTATTACATGTTTTGTATTATAATCCATGTAATCTAGTACATACTGGGTCTTGAGTGGGCTCGGTAAATAGCACCTCTTTTTAACCAACCAAATTGGAAAAAAATAAAGGGTTGGCCAGATAGAGACCAAGACATCACCTCTAATACTAATAGTGATGAAGTTGGAGCATGTGGGTATATGCTGGAGATAATGGATTGCTGAATGAGCCAATAATTGAGATATATGTAGCCACACAGTTGCAGGCAATGCTTGGCCACTACCTCAGGTGTAGGAGAGATTATCCCTGGGGGAGCATCAGCTTCTGTGGGCACCGAGATCCCAAAAGGAAAAAAGGACAGAGGTGTGACAACCCTGCCCATTGTGTTTCTTTCCTATTTAGTAATCATCTCCCGATGAGTGGAATGAATAAAGGGATAGAGAGAAGCCAGAAATTACCCTAATTCAGCTCCTGCACTTTTGAAAGTGTGAGGAAGAGGCATTTCCACTGTCATTACATATAATACCTTGTTGTTGTTCTTGTTGAACAATAATATTGAATTAGTCAAATTAAACCCTTTCCCAACATTTTATATAAATGTAAGTTTACAATACTAACATAAGTCTTCATAATTTAGCATTCAACTTTTTATAGATATTTTTTAAAAAATCCAAAGCACATAAGTTAGTTTGTTACACTACTGTTAGGACTGAGAAAGTGAGAAAAGGTTTGCTATTTCTTGTGTTTCAGAATCAAGATATATGTTATAAACACTTTATTGTGTTACTTCCTCATAACCACCAAAACCAAAAAAATAGGCAAATGTAAAAAAGTAGAGAATATAATGAAAATAAGTAGTTGCTTAAAGGAAACTTGAAGAACAAATTATGTTCTCTCTACTTTTTCTAAGTGAGTACCAATAACCTGGGAGTTGTCATACTTATTAAGTGAGCATTTTAAGGATTTTTTTTTTTTTTTTTTGAAGTTACAAGATTATTGACATTGAAGTGAATGAAGTAGAGAGACATTGGGGAAGAGCAAGGGGAATGGCTACTTTCAAATTTCAGGAGGTAATGACACCAATATGTTCTTGGTATATCTTCCACCTTACTAGCCAGTGTTCAGACTATTAGTAATGGGAGCAGTAAAGTGGTTTGGACCTGTCGGGCATGATTATTTGCTAGTCCAGTTATTGTTTATATTACACCTTGGTTTGGGAACACTGAAGTCTCTTTAGTTTAATAAAAACCCCTAAAAACTAGTTCCTAAAAATCATAGAATGCATTGAGAAGACTGTTTTTGAGCTCCTTTGAAGACATTGTTGTTCAGAGGAAATTTTTAAAAATGATCAAGTCTTATGAGTAACTAGATTCTTCATTATCATTCATGCTTTAGTATGCAGGCAGGGCATGAATTAGTTATATACTCTGTCTGAATGAACTTATGACTTTAATAAGATCTACCCTGGCACCCAGTGGCCAAATAGGTAAGTGACGCCAAGAGAAGAGTGATCCTTAAAATGTAGTTTCATTTTTGAGTTCGTTTTAAACTAGCATTAATGGTAAGTTACAAAAAGGATGACATTAAACTCATATAAATTGTGTCCATATCTAGAAATAAAGAAAGAAAATTGTGGTATACTTTCTGGATTATAAGTGAGCCCTGGTCACACTTAGCTCCTTGCTGGTGCCACTTAATTACTGTTTGGCCTTATAGCATGTAACATTCAGCCCTTTGCTTGTGGAGATTTTACTTAAGGGGTATGGAATGGCCACTTTTTCCTATTATATTATCACTAAATAACAAATCAAGTACTCCTACTGCTTTCCTTAAGTAGTTCCAAAATCTTGGGCTTATTATACTTATTAAATGAGCATTATATTGAATCTGGGCAGTGGGGTTCAGTAATAGAGTTCTTGTCTTCCATGTAGGAGACCCAGGTTCAATTCCCAGCTAATGTACCTCATGTGCAGCCACCACCTGTCAGCAGAGGCTTTTGTGTTGCTATGGTGCTGAATGAGTTTAAGCAGAGCTTCCAGACTAAGACAGTTTAGGAAGAAATGCCTTGTGATCTACTTCTGAAAATCAGCCAATAAAAACTTTATGGATCACAGTGGTCCGATCCCCATGTAAACTGATCATCGGGATGGGACATGACCACGCAGCATTTCGTTCTGTTGTGCATGGGGTCCTCTTGAGTCAATGGCCCATTTGACAGCAACTAACAGCAATAATGAATCTGTTTTTTATCTTCATGAAGTTGTGCAGATACTTGAAGTCAGTGAACTGGGGAGACATTGGGTTAGGCCAAAAGTGGTAAACTTTCCCAGGAAATTTGGAAATGTATATGTGGGCTGAGGGGTCAGGTGGGTTGCAAACTGCTTTAAACCATTATTTTATTTAAAATGATAGTATTTCCATCCACCATTTTAAGCAGACTCAGTAAGAAAAGGAGAGGATTTTTTTTCCTTTCTTGCCATTCCTAGGCTATAGGCTTCGAGAGGGGGACACTGGACAATCTTGATTTGAGACTTTCTTTAGATCCATGTATCCCTGAGACAAATCAGCAAAGCAGAGCATCATGAAATGTTTCACAGAGTAGAGCTGTCCCATAGGGTTTCCTATCCCAATCTGTTCAGTGTGAAAATTAAGTGAAGTCCAGATGGGCAAAGTCAGACTAGAATCTGCTTTGACTGGTTTCTTTGCTAGTGCTCTTATCTACATTGGGTAGTTTAGAACCCACCAGGATGAAAGGGTGCCCTCTTCAGGGATATTTCTGTCTCCTATAAATGGTTCCAGGCTCCTGGCTGCTAAACAAAAAATGCTAAGCATTGAGTTACAATCTTTCAAACCATATTTCTAATTTAAGGTTTGCTGTGTGATAATTCACAGACTAAGATACTGAAATTCTTTGTTTATTTAAAGAATTATTGATAGACTTCTCCTAGCCTGTACTACTTAGTGAGTTTTGGGGGGAAATTGAGAGTACCTAAGAAGATACTGGGAGTTTCCTGGCCAATGAAGACTAGTTGACAAAATGTATCCATACTCACAAGTACAAGAAAACTATGGCTATTATGTTTTTGAAGATATAATATTCCTGATGTTGTCAATATTTACTTCTTCCACCTGCCCTGCTATATTACACCATAAGTAGTCTTGTGAAACAGCTGCCACAGGAAATAGAGCCATGAGTGGAAGTTGACAAACTGACTGAGCATATCAGACACCTGGGCTTTGTCATGATGACAAACCTTAAATTTAGTTTGGCATAGCTGGGGCTAGAATTTGGTATGACAGGGCTCCCTAACCAAAGTCACGTGTACTGAGAATGGAAGCTATGTCTGAAGCAAAGATTAGACTGGGAGGGCCACATAAGAATAGCAAACTAAGCCTATACGACTATGAGACCAGAAGAACTAGATGGTGTCCGGCTACCACTGTCATCCCTGTGGAAGGGGATCTATCTAGGAGATCCATGATAGAGAGGGAGAACAATGTGGAACAAAACTCAAAATCATTTGGAGAAAAAAAAAGGGGGAGACTAGGTTTGCTGGTCCAATAGAGCCTGGTGAAACCACTGAGACTATGGCCCCTAGCTGCCCTTCAGGTCTGGAATTGAACCCACACCTGTGGTTTCCAGTCAAAC